ACCTGCGCCTTAAACGTTTTTGTTATGACACCGCTGGGCGTAGACAATCCTATGAAAGGGATTAGCACACATGGTGCGCTGGCCCATCTCTCTGCTGCCATAAACGCGCTGCAGTGCGTGTGCCGTTTTACCTTCCTCCGGCAGTTTAATTGGATCTCGCTTTTCCAGAAGATATATTTGTAAACAGCGGTGCTGGCCCTGGAAGGTTGGAAAGGCTTAAAGCTTAATAACACACGTGCAGTTATGGGCATTGTAGATGCATATTGTGCTTACTTGGCTGTTAAGCGACATTCACGATCGCTGCACCCAGTATACGAATTTCCGCGCAGGCCGATGGTTTAATGGGCCATTTAAAATTGTAGCCCTACGACTGTTTCTAAGTGGTTGATGGTCATTATCCATATGTGCAAAAGTAATAATGGTAAAAATGTGTGCATTCCGTCCATGCGAAAGCCCAAATTATCGGCAAGAATGATTATAGAGGCCGCAAAAATCCTGTCTACTTATAATAAAAAACTACTTTCAAATGTTATGTAGCCTGACTTTAAAGCTTTTCATTAAATTCCACCAACATAAAGTTAAATTTCCCTCGTATGGCATTGTTATTCTACGCAAAAGAGGTTTACGTTGATTACATTCGATTCTGTTTAGCATATTTAAACAAACATAATCTTATTTAATTTAATATTTTTTGATTAACTCCGCCACAATTACATATTAATTTACGCTCACTAGCCAAGAATTAAATGTTTGACCACAAAATACTTTAAGCACTTGGGCGGGGAATAGATATCTAGAGGAACCCTTCAAATCACTCATGTCAAATTATCTACAAGAGGGGTTTATTAGGTCGAATCGCAAGAATATTTAGCAACAGAGGGCGAATATGGATTTGTCCACCGGACCTTAGAAAGAGGGCCGGGTTCTTATACTTGCATATGCTTTTTGAAAGTAAGATGCATTTCCTCTGTTCTAATACAACTTTTGGGAGGACTGACTTTAGAAGCTCTAAATCCCGTTGACTTACTAAAAACAACTTTTAAATTTTCAGTAACCCGACGTTCCCTTTTTTCGTTAAATTCCACCAATAGGAGGTCGACTTTCTATTTTCGTTAAATTCCGCATAAGGTCGAATTTCCATCAATTGGCATTCGTATCTTGCGCGATCGGAGTTCATGTTGATGGAATTTTATTCTATTTTAGTATTTTTAAACAAACGTAATCTTATTGAATTTAATATTTTTCGACCATTTCCACAATTAAATATTCATTTATACTCACTAGCAAAGAATTAAATGTTTGACCACAAAATATGTTAGGCAGTTGGGCGGGGGGAATAGATAGTAAGATGGCCCTACAAGTCAGTTTTGCCTAACATTTTTTATATTGTTGCTTTCCTTCGAATTTTTAGCTAAAGCGACGACTCCACTCATGTGCTGGATAATTTTTAAAGATATTCAGCATAAGTTAAGATGGTGATGCGTATAATTATTGATTTTTCTTGCAACCTATCCATTAGAGGGTTAACTGCAAAAGGCTTTTAAAAAAGCCTGCGGAGGTTCGCACTTACTTTGGATATTATTAAACCCATGAACATCTTCCCTTTAAAAATTATCCTTGGACCAGAGTGTCTTTTCGTTTAACAGTGTGTTTCCACTCATCGGTACCTACACAACTGCCTGACACATGTTCCACAGTTTTTTTCCCGAAGTTTCAGTACAAAATCAATGCTTGCACCGCGCAGTTATGTGATTGTACCCATTTCTATCGAAAAAACTATCAGAAAGCCGGACTCCCATGAAGACAACATTTGCAGCTGCATTCTGTAAATTCGCCGCTAAAGCAAAGCACAACATCTCGTTTTGGGAAGGTGCAACGCTCTTTGGGTAGGATTATGTCATGGGGTCGTCTGGGGAAATTTTGAAGCACGCCCCGCAGGCTCAAGCACACCTGATTTTCGGGGAGAGAACGGGTGGGGCATGTCAAGGAACAAATTAGATCCCAATATTTATGTTAAATAAAAAAGTTACGAGGGCAAGTTGGGTCGCGCATTCAAACCTTGGGAGAAGACACTGAAATGAGCTTTAATGTCATCGCTAACCTCCCGCCCGACCAACGGCGAACGCGTGTATGTAGGGGGAGTGTGCCCAAGCCTCGGGCGAGGTAAGTGAGAGACATTTTCCAGTGGTATCACCAACACCAACTAGGAAAAAAGTTTAACGAAGAACAAAAGTGGGGAGATTATGTAAATCACCCTACTTAAAATTTGTAAGTAAGCGAAAATTCCCGTGGGTAGTTCAAAAGGCCAACTTTTCTTAGTTTGCTGATTTTAACAATTATGGAATGCGGTTGCCTTCGGAGAACCGCTCTGCAGTTCAATCTTATCAGCAAATCTCTGCTGGATCGATGGATGGCGTTTAGAAAATCGGGAGATTATAGGTAATTCAACATACTTCAAAATTTAAGTAGGGGGCTATAATGAATAAAGACCTTTCAAAGACCTCACGACATAATCCTACCGCTCCTTGTGTTTAATTAGCAAGTTTCGAGCTGTGCTCTGCGAAAGTTTTTATGCTCAGCACAATATTTGACAGTCGCTTAAGACAAATCCTAATTGAGAAGAAGTATATGTGATCGCTGGGACAAGAATTTTATTCGCCTGACATTTCGAAACCCATCGCGGAACCTTCATCGGAGACAAGAGCAGAAACGGGTCTCCATAATGCCAACCCTGCTAATGTTTCAAGCGGCAAATTATGGCAAATACCGAATTTTCAAGATACAGTGCAATAATTTACAACTAGCCAGGTGACTGACAGCCACACTTGCCACGCGGATAGTAACACGCAAGGCAGTCGAATTCGTTCCGAACTTCCTTGCTTGCTAGGTTACGACTCAAACCGCTTACATGAAGGAGATAGGGTATGTGATACGCTTTGCATCGTTCTGTCTTTCACACGTAAGTGGACTCGCTCTGTGCGCCGGGACAACAGAAATAAGCAGATGATAGCTGACTGCGGCATCTCAACCCTCACACTGATTCCAGGATTTGGCGGCTGATTACAATTCGCAAAGAAGTCTTGTTCTGTAAGTTTCCTAAGTGCCACGACTGAACACCGTATGTCATGAATAAGAAGATTACTTAATTAGAAAATAATGTAAACTATCAATGAGGGCAACAAAGTAGGCTGCCATGTTCCCGACCAATTTATCATCCAATCAGGTTATAAGTTGGTTTTTTTTTAATTTTTATGCTGAGTGTGAGTTGTTGGTACCCGTGTTTCGACTTAACTATTGTAAAAGTAAGGTTCTCATATATGACTAGAAATGTATCGTCTAAGCGGTGAGTGTGCCCACTGCCTCGCAATACTCACGGTTAAGTCCTGTCCAAAAGGGGAAGGGGGAGAAGACACCAGTCGGAGCAATGTATGGAATCCTTGTGGTGGTCAGAACCCTCGACGCACGGCCGACTCTGTGCCACGGCCCGCTAAGGTGATGAACAAACATGATGTGCGAGCCACTGAGCGTCAGCTTCATCAGTCGATTGGCTGACAGCCCTGTATGTGCACGTCTGTGATTGGTTGTCCCAGAAGCCGAAGCAAGCGCGTGTGGTTCGGCCTTGATCATATGATGGTTAGCATGGCATACTTGTTAGGAGTGGATGACCTGTACGCGCATACAGGGATGCTACGTGATTGTTCGAAATAAAAGTATACCAATCAAGGTCACAAAAATATATTAGTACACATCAAGAGACCAAAACTGATGTCCATTCTTTTCAGTGAATCTTGTGTAAATTGCGTTTGTTTCGGTTTTTACAGTACATTCAGAACTGTACAAAAACACACTTTACAGCAGTGCAAAATGCGCCCATCTCTTTTGCCATGATACCTTAGGTAGCTGCAGATGATAACCTTGATAATTGTTGCTATCCACGACACGGGAAACTTAAAAGGTTATTTTCAACTTATTTTACAATAAATCTTATTTTACTTATTGCTCATTGTTTTCCAAAGGTATGTTTAGTTTCATTCACTTTTAGTCGTCTTGATCTGCCATCAAGCTTTCATATTTTGTCGATTTATTTCGATAATCTAAACCATCCGAAGTATGTTCGAGACTGGAAACATTCATAAAAGGCGTATATAATTTGGAGCTATGCAATATTTAAAACGAATTTTCACTATTTACAAAGGGTTCTTTGAGTTACGATTGGAAAATAAAGAAATGATTAAAGTGACTGAGTTAATGCAACCGACCAACAGCATACCCCTTGTTAATACTTGACTTGAAGTCTACCTATCGGCGGAGGTATTGCTATTCTGTCGTCCTTCCGAAAGCTTGCTTTGCCTTTCTCTCTATTAAAATTTATCTCGCACTGTAGGCACAACCGACGCCATCTCCGCAGGAGCCTTTCCCAAACAATAGTGGAAAGCAGGTAACCATACGCATTCAAATAATGCATGTCCAGGTTATTCCGCTCCAATTGTGTAATATCAAAAATGCCTACTTTAATTATCTAAGTAACGTTTATTGTTTCAAATTTAAGCTGTACCTGATTGCACACCCCGAGCCCCTTGATGGACGACTGAGGTTTTGGGCAAAACTCGGCGGAGGACACTCGGGTGCCATATTCGCATGCCAGCGGGAGGCGAACAAGAAACATTTAGGCCAATCTTTCTATCCTCTCCTTAGTACTGATATGTTCAACATGGATTATGTGGTGCCACCCATGAATCGATACGGCCTGCCACTCGTTAATATTCGAGTAAGAGAGAAAGCTGAACATTTTCGTTGATTTAACAAAAGCCTATAGTTTATAATATTTTCAGAAAAGCTGTTTAGGGTGATAAAATTTTTAAAAGTAACACTTGTGTTGTTATTCATGTCTTAACTTCAGTTCTGGTTTTTTTGATAACGAAATGCTTTTGTTTACATTTCTTAGGGTGAAACCATCTTCAGTGACTTTGCGCATCTAATTAGAGGTCAAGAGAAACCTCGGGCACCAATCCTCACCTTCGACGGGTCAAATATTTTTAATGATACCAGGTAAGTCTGAAGGAAAATGAAATCGCTATGCCACCGGTTTTATTTTCTGCAGTTAAATCTTTCATGCGCATTGTCTCCCGATTTTGGATAATGGATATAGTACCACGGGATTGTTTATGTTGTTCAGCGCATGTTCATTATATAATCCTTTTTGAAAGTAAACCCCATTCAAACTTACACTTAATAAGTGAGTTATTCAAACCACGAATTGAAGATGTTGTGTGCTTCTAGAAGTCACAATAAACAGGAGGAGTTTATTCCAGACTGCTGTGAATAGAAGCAACCCGCCAACCTAATTTTGTCGATGAACATAATGACCCTTGAAAGCCAAGCAGCGGCAGAATACCGGCGAAACATGTGTCTGGACCTTTTAGCTAGTACCTGGGCTGTTAGTATGGTAAGTTACAACATCAAAATATACTACTACAGTCAATTCGTTGGCAGCATGTGCATATATCGCAGTGGTTGACAGGTTTAAGCCCAGAAATACGCTTACAAGTTTGGTTTATGCCTATAAACCTTGAATATACTGATGTATACCACGAACAAAATTAATTTTAAAGTCAATTAAAAAGCTGAACTTCCAAAACCGTTATATCAACCAGAAAGCAAACAAGGAAAGCTGGGGCCCCGACTGATGAGCCGGACCCCCCGCAGCTGTGTCAAGCGGCGGCAGAATATCGGCGGAACACTGTCTGGGCCTTTTAGCTAGTACTTGAACTGTAAGTATGGTAATTTAAAACATCAGTGTTTAAGCCTGTTGCTAATTGCTGTTGAGTACCCTCAAACCATGTTTGACATTAAGATCTGAGATGTTAGCTAACGACCCTAAATACGTACAACCTACTTTCTCAGTATTAGATGTTTTTAGTGTTTTTGCCACTCGCATAATGAGTGCTCATGCCTATGAGGAATCTGGAACCAACTATCTGGAATCATTTTATATTCCTACTGCTGATCCATTTCACTCTGATGAACGAGATGAAATGTCAAAAAGCTATGAATGCATAAAGAACCTGTTAAATGCTTTTGTACTTCCGCAAGGCTGACCGCCCTCCCACTTCCACTTCTTTAGTGTACAAAGGGCTCCCTGTGTCTGGTTGGGTGCAAAACCAATCTATCGGAATGGCGACTACGAGCATGCCGCGCGCTCGAAGTGCCGCAACTGGCAAACCAATGCTCCGACTGAGGGTGCACTGGCTGCGCACCTGCCGCCTAACGCCACTGGCCTGGTGGACAAAGACAATATCTACGAAGAGTCCTGTTCCAAGCAGTGCCTAATACTCTGCATCCAGATTATTACTCCGCAGGCATCAACAGCCGAGAGTAACAACGCACACACCCCTTGACTGGCCGCCCCTTATCCCCTTAAAACCCGGTTCCAAAGTGCCTCAAACTCACTCTAGTCAGCCGACCAACCGCACTAAAAAACACACACACCGACGCGTACGTGAAAGAAAGTGCGCACATACACATACACACACAACACCTCCATCCCGTCCCGTCCCGCTACAGAGACCGACAGCCGTTACCTTTTCTGCACAAACACCCAAAATGCCTAACCGCACCACATTCTTCGTCTTGGCCTCTCACGTTGATGTTATCTTCTTCTGTTTTTTGTTTTTTTTCTAAAGGATAGGAACTGTTGTGTTTAACTCGCGCACAGCGCTGTGTGTACACTTGAGATTGACGGCGGCCTGCTGCTGAGGAGGCGACCCAGTTTGCATAACAAAAAACGCCTTGCTGAGCTCTTAGTGTAAAAAGTGAATGGCTGCATGAGCCACTGAGCCATATTAATGGGTTGCGTGGTAAATGCGCTGGACTAAGACGAGGGCCACGGACAGGACACAGCAGGCGTTATTCGGCCTGCCGGTAAGGAACTATCGTGGGGTCCGCACAGTGTGCACGAAGCGCTCTCCAATACGAGCACCGGGTTTTAGGAGGTAGAATGGGTGAGGCATATTTGGGTAAAGATCAGAGCGCAGTTATCATGTAAATTAAGAAAGGTTGGATGGGGGTTCACTGAGCTTGGGCGAGCTCACTGAGGTTCATTTTAATATCATCAGTAACCCCTGCTGGACCAACGGCGATCGCGTGTATGTTGGGGGATGTTCGCTGACCTTAGGCAAGGTTACTGATGTACATTTTTTAATAGCATCACCATTCCCAACTGGACTAACGGCGGGCGAGCGAAAACGTGTAAAGTTGTAGAAATTTATTTTAATTAAAATTTTTAAGTAAGCGGTCATTCCCATGGTTAAGTTTAAAAATCAGTTTGCCTTATAAGCTGGCTTATGTAAGTAGGTATTCTACATATTGGCCTTCCGACGACCCCTTTACAGTTCAGTATTATCCCCAGTCCCTACTAGACCAACGGTAGGTGCACGAAAAATTGGAAGATTGTGGAAATTCACCTTAACTTAAAATTTGTAAGTAAGGGGTTATTGTACATGTTGGCCTTCCAAGAACCCCTTCAGAGTTCCCTTTCGGCTTGCGTTCCCATTAGAAATGCCGAATATGAGGGAAATCGGTGGCACGCGTAGGGACAGCCTTGAGTCTTACTTACGTACCAGACGTGAACGCTCGCCTGGGTGTCTTACAAATCAGCTCAGCTGAAGTTTAGGACGTGCGTAAGCTTATATTCCCATCTGTTATGG